TGGGCCCACGGGAGAGAGGGGGGCATTTAAGCAGGCAGCATCACCATCGTATTTAGGTATCGGTGGTGAAAGGACGAATGCACAGCATTAGAGATTCACAACACACCAAATCGTAGTTGAAGCGGGAGCAAAATAAATGTTCTCACATCATAACATAACAGGTTCATTAAACTAACGATTTTAAAATTTCCAACGGTTACACATAAACATTAACCAAACAAGTCAGAAATGCAACAAATAAACCGAAAAATACAGAACAGCCGAAGAGAATATATCAACCTAGTTAAATGTCATAATTCCTGTTCCTCTAGTTTAATATGGTCGATAAAGTTTGATAGGTCTGGCCATGGCGAGTGAAAAGCAAAATGTGCTTTACCAAGCAAAACATGAACATGCCCCTGCAACTGCAGCTGACTCAGTGATCAACAAAAGGCTTACTTGTGTATAGGTACAATTCTTTTTGTGGCATTTTCCACATTTAAACATATCCGTCGGAGTGCCAGCCTCTTGACTTATCTGATGTTCGTCAATCGCTTCTTTGGTGAATTTTCGGCGCATAATTTTCATAGCGTTGCTCGCCATTTCCTGAAATTATTAAAATTCACCATGAAAAACTCGTTATATCAGATTAAGCTTATTATGCCAATTTCATTAACTACTGCCTTTGTGCTGACGAAAGATAGGTTATCAGGTTACTAACGCAGAAAACATCATGCCAATCAGTCTCCAAACTACCACTGGTTTCCATAAGCCTGCCATAAAGAATAGCAACACGAGTTATTACTTCAATATATACAGCGACATTGGATTGTCCTTGTTTTTAGGTACCTAAAGCAGGTCAGGTTCCACGGCATTGGTACATCCAGAGCGGTCGATGCCATATCGCATAAAAAATATACTTGCGAAATTCTTGTAACTGTGAATGGTTTGGCGATTTATGGTTGAGGGCATCAAACAGCGCAGATGTTAAGAGTGTATCGCCAGCACGTTTAACGACGCTGGGCGTTCCATGGTTAGGGCATAATAAATAAGGGGGACGGTGGACAGTGAACGTTTGCACCGAAAGTGCAACTTGATGAAGTAGTGTCAAAAACAGGCCATGGTAGTTATAGCATATATAACAAAGGTATTAGAACCAGTGAGAAGATGGCATGGACTTTAGGGTCTATAACAAGAGCAGCGCGAATCCACGAATGCTTTTATTCAGATGAGAGGAATGATCTGAATGATTTCCGGATGAGGACGTCGAATATGACGTACAACGTCGAGTCTGGTAACTGCGATAAGACAAACGTTGGAAGCTGAATATCGGAAAAAAAGCATTTAACTCCAATCTGCTTCAGGCCGGCTACATTAGTACTGCGCAGCACGCCTTCTCTGAAGAACAAGGGAGAAGCACAAGCTAACGAATGTGCTGTAATCGACATGGACGGGTCAAAGTTTGGACTGCTGATAAAAAAGCCCCTATATATTCTAACACTACATGTGCAATGAATACTCCTCTTCCGTAATGATAAGTACATGCTGGAGAGCGCTATCATGAACATGATAAAGAAAGTACTGAATAGCGTGATGAATAACTGCATATGCTGGCTACTATCTGGTGTTAATCTATCACTCATCTTAAATACAGATATTCTGCATATATAAGGCAGCTTGCTGCAAGAACATCAGTTGTGCGCTGATGATGGTACAGGGTGCGTAGCGAAACATGCAAACATTTAAGTATTAATATCTGAGATGTTCGGTGCCATCGAGCATGAACTGGCAAATCATTCACCATTTTAGCAACTGGTGCAGAATCAGACCATGTAGAATTCACGACCTAGCATAAGTTTTGTACTTTCCCACGTTTCTGTGGTCTTGGGTATTATTTTTGGGTAAACGAACACATTCGAGTCCAGTGTTCTTGTCTCCCTCAGTTTCTTTCCACCTAAAAAAAATTTGTGCCATATTATCTTCCAAAATCTGTGAACCCGCTATGGCAGAACGGCAGAAAACAGACTTTCAACCATGGAGAAAGAAGACCAGAAAAGTGTACTAGAGGTTGCAAATAGAGGTCATTTTGTGAATGGCTCTTAAGCATGTGCAACCTGAGAAAGTTCAACGGCAGAACGTACCATCCCTCAACTGTCAATAATCAATAACGATGCTAAATTCAAAAAAAAATTTAAAATGGTAGTCAAATGCAGATCGATACCTCGGTGGTCATTGTTGCAAACTTTGCCGGTGTCACGACACCTAGAAGCACGTTTTCCCTCAGTTCCGGATTCTTGCGGTCGCGTAAATTAAATACCCGACTGCGAACCGCAGTTTTGTACCTGAAAATTAAAGAATCAAATAACGGTATCATGTATCAAAAATACGACTGCTGGCGTACTTGTCATTTGTGGAACCAAAATGTTCGTAAATGCACCTTTCGATTTCGCCTGCCAAAACATTTGGGTCAAGGGAACCGTCCAAATCGCCTAAACGTAGTCCGTTATCACGACGGCAGGAAGGAAGAATATCAGTGAATTCTTGCCGCTAATTCTTAACGAGTTGTAAATCGCTTCTTTACACTTGTTTCTCGTCTCGTCCAATGCTTCGCTCGCGCTGGCGGGGAAACAGGACTGCTTCAGCGGACGACTGGGACTTGGCTTCTTCTCGTCAACAGCCTTTGAGGCGAAATGCGGCACGTCCTAAGAATGGCACATCATTTCTACAAAGTGCAGAAAATGCAAAGACCGACTGGAAAACTAGAGATGGTGAAGAAGGAGAATGAAATGTAGAATAAGAGAACATGAAAAGAAGGAAGGGAAATGAAAAAGAAGGAGAATTGGAAGGAGAAAGAAAAGGGCAAAGAAAAGAAAAGAAAAATCAAAGGGCAAAAAGACGGGGACGAATGAGCAGAAGGCGAATATGAAGAATTCCTACATGACTGAAAGAACAGAGTGAAAAAACCTAATTATAAAACCAGCCAATGAAAATAAAGACATCGCATTTTATTTCAGGACTGACGACAGCAGAAAAGTAGCTGTAAGTGGCGTAATCTAGTTTTAATTAATAAACATTTAAAAATTAGAATAAATCGAATGATGGACTCAACATAACTATTTTAAATGCCTATATAGTGAATGAGTCACAGAAACGCGACTAGGATGTATGGCATTAACGAAATCAAACCGAATCTGCTCCAGAAACCTAATGCGTCTTTGTTTCTGACCTTTTCCTCATCTCATG